ACAGGAATTGATCTTTCTGAAATTTGTATAATAACAAAAAAAAAAAACAAAAACAAAAAAAAAAACAAGTGCAGTTGCTTTAAAGATTTTCTAGAAGTTAGTGGTCCAAAACAAAACAAAACTGTGCTTTCATCAGAACATTTCCCATACAGAAGAGATTCTTCCCACGGATATATTCCTTTCCACCGAATTTTCCCAGGCCAATATACCGATAAAGACGGCAGACATAAAACAACTGATCTCCCTTTTCATGAGAGCAGAAAGGGTAAGAGTTAATCCTTCATATCGGCCTTATTTCCAATATAATCGCTGCAAAATTATTTCTATTATTACTATTATTTCCGAGAAAGCCGAAGCGGCTTTACGTGCAGTTTCTTCCTTCATGAGCCAGGCACGCAGGAACGTTATCTTCGGGAGAACTTGGCCTGCGTTGGCGTAAAACGGGGGAGAAATGGGGGAGAGCGGGGATGGAAAGGGAGCGGGGGAGAGCTTGCGGGGTTTAGGGGTTGACGTGGGAGATAAGAAGAACGCCTTCCATAAGAACACCGTTTTGTTCATTTCTGCGGTGCTGCGGCCGAAGAATTCCTATTGTCCTTCCCATCTTTTTCTTTTCACTCTTATAATTACCTTTTAGAAGGATTCGTTAGGTGGTTAGGCTTTTAATTTATCCCGAAGGACTTGTACACTACCAGCCACAAGTTTGCGAAGGGTGAAGCCGTGCATAAATTGGTGATGTTTTCTTGTTCCTCCGAAGTTTTGGTAGACGACCGAGAAACATCACTGGATAATCCAATTCCTAAGAAGCCCAGCTAAAGAAAAGATATTGGCCGTTATGCGACTTTGAAACCTCAAAATAGTTCAATAAACTATAAGCGCATGTAAACAGCTGCAAATTGCAAACGGGAATTTAATCCGCGTGTGATTTAGCCAAAGCATGTAAAGAAATATTTGAAAATCTTTTGAAGGGAATTTGGTCAAAATTCTACTAAGAAAATTACGTGAACTCGATTTCCATGTGGTGATAGTTGATTCGACTTTCAGCCTCATCAACTATCACTTCGTAGAATTCTTGAGCTCAGAATTTAGTTGTTATTCACTGGGGTGAAATTTCTTTAACACGCTTTTCAACTCACACATATATGCACTACATATTACAGGTCATTTGTTGAAAAATCGATTAATTCAGGAAACATGAAAGTTATTTTTCCATTTAGGCTTAAAATTGTTTTGAATGGGCTAAAATTTCTTTTAATTGCTCAAAAACTAGGTAAATGACGACTAATTTTATTTTATTTGTCGTTACGATCAATATCCATAGCCTTTTAGTAACAATATGTCACATGACTTGACCACAAGAAGATCGACAAGAACAACAAGACATTAATGGATTTATGTAACAAGTGTCTAAGTGGACCTTATACATCACAAGAAACAATGCGAAAGAACACGAATAGCAAACCTGTCACTCACACTGCTATACGCCAGGTAAACATTGTTACAGTAAAATTAGGATTGCTACCAGAAAATATTCTTGAGGCTTTAATGGGAAAGCGGATTATTATGTAAATAAATTTGTTACCTTCCATCTCGTACATCATCCCACAAATAGATTTCTAACCCTATATAAAGTTACACTTAATAGCGCATGTTGGATGGGATATTTGAACAGAAAGCTGTAATACACAAGTCGAGTGCCCTGGGTAAAACGTTCTCCCAGCGAGAGATCCTCTAGTCACGAACATGGCACTTATAAAAACTGAAGAAGCTTTTAAGCTTCTTAATGGTTAAAACCATTCGATCACACTTCATGTATAAAGTTTGAAGACCAAATGTTTTTTTCCACCTTTGACACCCAATTAGATCATGTTTTGTCATCACGTGTTGGCAGTTTCATGCAACCGACTTTATTTTGTATACTAGCTTCTATCGATGTTTGCAATTTTATCATTAATCAAGGTCTTTTTGCATAATAGAAAAAGGCAGATTCTTTAACGAAACCTTCGAAAGACGAGGCGGGAGACAAATGTGGAGAAGGATCTTCCTGTGGTAATATTAGCAACGCTTATCAAAGTCTGGAGGATCTCAGAACAGCCATTGACTGCCATGAAAGTCGTCTAGAAATTGCCCAAGAAGTGGGAGACAAGGCTGCGGAAGAAGCGGCTAATAGGAATCTTGGCGCTGTTTATTTTATTCTGGGGGATTTTAAAACGGCCATTGGCTACCATGAACGTTGTCTAAAAATTGCCCAAGAAGTGGGAGACAAAGTCAGAGAAGGAGGAGCCTATGGTAATCTCGGCAACGCGTATCATTGCCTGGGGGATTTCAAAACAGCCATTGATTACCATGAACGTCATCTAAAACTTTCTAAAGACGTGGGAGACAAAGGTGGCGTTGGAATCGCCTATGGTAATCTCGGCATTGCTTATGATAGTCTGGGAGATTTCAAAAAAGCCATTGACTACTATGAACGTGTTCTAAAACTTGCCCAACAAGTGGGAGCCAAAGCCGGAGAAGGAAAGGCTCATGGTAATCTTGGGATCGCTTATAATAATCTGGGGGATTTCAAGAGAGCCATTGACCACCAAAAACGTTGTCTTAAAATTGCCAAAGAAGTGGGAGACAAAGCCGGAGAAGGAAAGGCTCATGGTAATCTTGGCAACGCTTATATTGCCCTAGGTGATTTCAAAACAGCTATTGAATGCTATGAATGTCATCTAAAAATTGCCAAAGAAGTGGGAGA